GTAGTACACATTGACAATGTCATCCATCGGAAACATTAACATAGATGACATGGTGTTTAAAGTAATTCGAATTGAACCAAAGCAAAATAAAATATTCAAAATTGACCCAACATTTTAGTGATTAAAAATATATTTCCAATTATTTGAAAGAATTGCTAAAAAAAATTAAACTATGTGACAAAGTTTTACAGAACAACTTAAAACTAGATTTTTGCATGGTGGATAACTTGATCTACCTAAAATAAGATACTAAAAATAATATTTTAGAACCTTTTTTTTTTTGGTAAAAGTTGAAAATATATTACCAAAAAAAAACAGGTTACAGAAGTTTCCCAAGACAAAGTCAATTGGGGAATGACAAAAGATTAACTCACATCAAAGAGAATCAAGACTTTAAAGAACCAGAGGAAATAAGATACACACGAGACTTTAGTAGTCAGAGAAGAGCAGGCGCAACCATAGCCGCATTCTGGTGAGAGGAGAAGCTAATTCGAAGGTTAATATTTTAGAAGTTCTAAAATAAAAAATAAAAATCTAATATTTTAGAACTTCTAATGTAAGAAGTTTTTAAAATTTTAATGTCTCAATATGTTGCCGTATAATTTACGGATTGTGAGTCAATGTTTAGTATTCCAATATAACAATCTTTTATATAACCAAAGTGATGAATCACCAATGTTAAGTTTAGCTTGAAAATCCCGTTTATGAACTGATTCGCCCAAGAAATTTAAAAGATGTGAACAAAACATCTCGACTATGTTGTGACATTGAAAGGAAAAGAAGATATAAAACATAACGGGAAACATTATCTTTTGCTCTTCTGATCGACAAAGCTAAACACTGTTTTCTTAAAAAACATATTTTTGTATATAAAGAAGAGATAAAATAATTTTACAAGACTTCCTTCTTCTATCTTGAAGGTAAGAATGGTACTTGAATTTGAAACCATTATTAACTTATGTAAATGATATTCTTTTTTGTTGACAGTATGAAAAAGGTGTATTTTTTTGTTTTGGTCAATATGAAAAAGGTGTATTGAGAGTTTCTTGAAACCATTAACACCTTTTTTTGTTTACAGTATGAAAAAGATGTTATGGCTAATTTCTTGAGA